TCAGCCAGTTGTATTCTTTGGGGTGAAGTCGAGGACTGTGCCTCGAGTCATCTCTTCTATGCAAGCTAGAAAGAGCCTTTCCAAGGGTAGTTGTCAAGGCTATCTTGTTTCCATAGTGTCCGAGGATGATTCCGAGCGGACTCCGGAGCGAGTTTCCATTGTTTGCGAATTCCTTGATGTTTTTCTCGATGAGCTGCCCGGAGGACCACCCGACCGCCAGGTGGAGTTCACCATTGACTTAGTACCGGGATCTGGCCCCGTATCTAAGGCCCCTTACCGTATGGCGCCGAAGGAGCTTCAAGAGCTTAAGGCCCAGATCCAAGAATTGCTCAAGCTTGGTTTTATTCGACCGAGTGTTTCGCCGTGGGGTGCGCCCGTCCTATTCGTGAAGAAGAAAGACGGATCAATGCACATGTGTATTGACTATCGGGAGCTGAATACCCTTACAGTCAAGAAAAAGTACCCTTTGCCCCGTATTGAGGACCTTTTCGACCAGCTGAGGGGAGCCAGCGTCTTCTCAAAGATCGACTTGCGTTCTGGCTATCATCAGCTGAAGATCCGGGAGTCGGATGTTTCTAAGACTGCCTTCCGTACCCGTTATGGCCACTATGAGTTCGTAGTCATGTCGTTCGGACTCAGCAACGCCCCGACCATATTTATGGACCTTATGAATAGGGTCTTTCATCCCTTCCTGGACCAGTTCGTTATCGTGTTCATCGACGACATCCTGGTTTATTCCCAAGACACCGATCAGCACAAAGAGCATTTAAGGATTGTGCTGGAGACTCTTCGCCGCGAGAAGTTATATGCCAAGTTTTTGAAGTGTGAGTTTTGGCTAGATCGTGTGGCATTCCTTGGCCACATTGTGACAGCGAGAGGCATTGAGGTGGATCCCGGCAAGATCGAGGCAGTGAGCAAGTGGGATACGCCAAGAAGTGCCACTGATGTTCGTAGCTTTCTAGGGTTAGCAGAATACTACTGGAGGTTTATCGAGGGCTTCTCGAAGATAGCCCAGCCCCTAACCAACCTTACGAAGAAGGCCGTGAGGTTCGAATGGAGTCCTAGGTGTGAGAAGAGTTTCCAGGAGTTGAAGAGGAGACTCACCACCGCGCCCATTCTATCCATTCCCGATCCTACTTTGGAGTTCACCATCTACAGTGATGCTTCGAAGATGGGCTTGAGTTGTGTTCTCATGCAGCAAGGGAGAGTCGTAGCGTATGCTTCGAGGCAGCTGAAGCCTCACGAGCAGAACTACCCCACTCATGATCTTGAGTTAGCTGCAGTCGTTCACGCCTTGAAGATTTGGCGGCACTACCTATATGGAGGCAAGTGTGAGATTTTCACCGACCACAAGAGCCTAAAGTACATTTTCACCCAGAAGGAGCTGAATATGCGGCAGCGTAGGTGGTTGGAACTGGTCAAGGACTACGATTGCACGATTAGCTACCATCCGAGGAAAGCTAACGTGGTAGCCGATGCCCTTAGTCGAAGGAGTTATGGCAAGTTGTCATGTATTTTTACCGAGCAAGATGTCCTTCTTCGAGAGTTTGAGCGGCTACAGCTAGAGGTAGTGGAGCCACCTTCGACAGCCAGGGGTGTGTTAACTACTTTGGTTGTGGGACCGACTCTTTGTGAGAGGATAGTTGCCAAGCAACCGAATGATCGTTTCCTTTGCCGGATGAAGGAGTTGTCGGAAGCCGGTAGAGTTGGAGGATTCGCAGTGGCATCTGATGGAGCATTAGTTTTCGAGGGTAGACTATGTGTTCCGAAGGTGTGGGAATTGCGAAAGGAGATCTTGAGAGAGGCCCATAGTGCCCCGTACACCGTCCATCCTGGTAGCTCGAAGATGTTTCAGGACTTGAGGAAGTCGTTTTGGTGGCGAGGCATGAAGAATCAAGTGGCGAGGTGCGTAAATGGGTGCCTGGTGTGTCAGGGAGTGAAGGCTGAGAATCAGAAACCGAGAGAGAAGTTGCAGCCACTTGAGGTTCCCTTGTGGAAGTGGGAGTGCATCACCATGGATTTCTTGGTGGGATTGCCGAGGTCGAGGGCCGGGCATGATTCTATTTGGGTGATTGTGGATTGTCTTACCAAGTCTGCCCACTTTCTGCAGTCCGGACGACTATGAAGGCTAGTCAGTATGCCGAGTTGTTCATGGACGAGATTGTATAACTTCATGGAGTTTCCGTGGAGATCGTGTCTGATCGAGACGCGAAGTTCACCAGTCAGCTCTGGAAGACTCTACACCGAGCCATCGGGACGAGGCTGGAGTTCAGTATAGCTTTTCATCCTCAGACAGATGGTCAGTCGGAGCGGACGATCCAGTACTTGGAGGACATATTGAGGGCTGTGGTTTTGGACCGTAGCCTCACCTGAGAGAGTGCTTTACCTCTGGTCGAGCTGACTTACAACAATAGCTACCACTCCTCGATCAAGATGGCCCCATTCGAGGCTTTGTATGGACGTAAGGTCCGAACACCCTTGTACTGGGATGAGGTCGGGGAGAGGAAAATCATGGGTCCGGAGTTCATTCATAGAGCTGCGGAGACGGTTGAGGCTATCCGGAAGCATATCCGGTCAGCCCAAGAGAGGCAGAAAGTCTATGCCGACCGGAAGAGGGATGAGCATGAGTATGCGGTTGGAGATGATGTCTTCCTGAAGGTTTCGCCTATGAAGGGCGTGATTCGCTTCGAGAAGAAGGGGAAGCTCAAACCGCGTTATAGTGGGCCCTTCGAGATCCTTGCCCGAGTCGGGAACTTAACTTATCGGCTGGCTTTACCACCTAGCTTGTCGGGAGTGCATGGCTTGTTTCAAGTCTCTATGTTGCGGAGATACGTGCATGATCCCACTCACGTGGTGGACTTCGGCGAACTGCAGGTCGAGCGAGATCTTACCTATGAGGAGGTACCGGTAGCTATTTTAGACCAGAAGGTCCATCAGTTGAGGAACCGGGCAGTGAGCTTGGTGAAGGTGCTTTGGAGCCGACATGGCGAGTCGGAGGCGACTTGGGAAAAGGAGGCCGAGCTTCGGAGGCGGTACCCGAACTTTGAGTTTTGAGTTCCCTTGCATTTTATTTCGCTTTCTAGATTTTCATTTTCGAATTCCGAGGACGGAATTCTTTGTAAGGTGGATAGACTGTAATACTCCGTTTTATTATGGATTATTGGAGAATAATTATTGCTATTAATATTATTATTATTAAATTGTCTAGTAAATGTTATTATTATTAACTTAATTGTCTAATTGTTATTAATTGGTTAAAAGCTTATTATATAAATATAAAATGTGTGTATTATAAATATAAATATTATCCTGTTTAAATTATTTTATCGCGATCGAACCAAGCTTCGAATGGGATATTCGGTCCTTGTTGGAATTAAATTCCGGCCTATATAAATCTTCTAGCCCTTTTAGCTATCAATTTCAGGCCCAAATTAAGTAATGTCCAAGGCCCAAAGTTTTGTTTAATTCAACCAAATTAAAAAGGCCCAATTTGTGCCATCCACTCCTTCTTCTTCTCCTCAACGACCGATCGCCCCTCTCCTTCTTCCTCGCAATCGACCGAGCTTCTGTTCCCAACGGCTCGAAATTCTGTTGCGATTTAGCTTCTGTTCCTTCTTCTTCACGAAGACCAGGCCCCAACTGCTCGAAATTCTGTTGCGATTTTGCGGCAGAACCGCTTCCCCTCTCCTCCCTTAATCTCTCGCCTGCTTTAAAGACCCAACCATCTTAGATGCTCTGATTTCACAACCCCTCTCCCAATTTCAAGATTTACCGAAATCCCTCAAATTCTTGAAGAATCGCTTAGTTCGAGCTTTGTTCTTCCTCGGCAAATTTTTGTCCGCCATTAATTCCGGCAAGCAGCAAGGAGCGACTGTTGTCAACGAAGGGTCCTGTCCAGTCGCCGTCCTCCATAGCCGAGCGCTTCAAACTTCCGACAACCAGCAGCCCCAGTCCTTGTG